TACCCCATCCACACACCCCACTCCATTGCTTTCTCTTCAGAGCATTGACAGGGCAGGCAAAAGGGGCACAAGCAGCTGATCGCAACTCTGTCCCACCACGTACTCTTTGATATTAGATATCTGACTGAACCTACTCTAAAGATTATGAGGTATTAAAAATAATGGTGAGATTTTAACATGAATCCTTCAGTGTGCTACATACTATTGACATCTTGCTCTGTACAAAACCTCAAATAAACTGCTGCCTTAAAGTAAAATCTCTCATGGTTTTGTTTCTGAAAAACTGGGTTCCAAATGCTGTGTATACATCAGCGTCACCCTCAGGCACATCTGCTTGACGGCTATAAAGCTGCTCTCTCAATCCCCTACAGTGTGTCTCTGAGTAGAGTCAAAGGATGTACAGTGTAGAGGGTTTACAGTTTTTCACAAGGCTCTGGTAAGGATTATTGTAAGAAGCTAAGGATAGGTGGAATAGCTAGGGGAATTGGTGGGAGAAGTACCCTAAGGATTGAGAAGTAGTTAATGTTGCAGGGACAGATGCTTTCTCAGACCCTGTGATAGAAACAAAGGAAATAGGAGCTGGACAAGGCCATTCAGATTTTTGAGCCTGCTCCACCATTAGTATAATCACGGCTGATCGTCAAACTCAGTGGTAAAAGGCTATTTTTTTGTGACTCGGGGCCAGTGAGCAATAGCATACTACAGAGATCAGTGTTGGATCCCTTATAGTTTTGTGATATTGATTATTGATGTAGATAAGATTATGGGAGGGATAAATATATTTGCGGTTAACATAAAAAATGACGGTTAGTAGTTCAGAACTTTGGTTACGCAACACCTAGAATACTGTTTGCAGTTCTGGTCACCACACTCTAGAGAGAATGTGATTGCACTAGAGGGGGTGCAGAGGAGATTCATCAGGATGTTGCCTGGGATGCAGCATTTCAGCAATGAACAGGAGCTGGATAAGCCCAGATTGTTTCTTTTGGAGCAGAGAAGGTTGGGGGGACCTGACAGATTATGAGGGGCAAGGACAGGGTGAATAGAAAGCAGCTGTTCCCCTTAGCCAAAGGGTCAGTATCAAGAGGGCATCATTTTGAGAAAATGTTTTTCTCCTGAGGATGATGGGAGTCTAGGATGAACTGCCTGGGAGGTTGGTTAAGGTGGGAAACCTCACAACCTTTCAAAAGTACTTGGATGTGCACCTGAATGTTATAACATTTAAGGTGACAGGCCCAGTGCAGGAAAGTGAGACTAGTGTTGGTAATTATACATTTTTGGCAGTACAGGCTCAATAGGCCAAACAGCCTCTTTGGTGCTGTATAGATTTGTGTTACCCTGTTTCTGCTTTCTCCCCTTTGATCAATTTAGCCATTAGAACAATGTCTAACTTCTTGGAAACATTTAACTTTTTAGCCCAAACCACTTTCAGCAGCAAGAATTCCAAAGGCTCACCACTCTCTGGGTGAAGACATTTCTCCTTACGTCAGTCCAAAATGGCCTAGTCCATATCCTTAGACTGTGACCCCTGGTTCTGGATTCCCCAGTCAATGGGAACATTCTTCCTGCATTTACCACACATAGTCTTGTTAGAATTTTATATGTTTCTATGATATCTCCCTCATTCTCCTAAACAATGACGGGCAGCACAGTGGCTCAGTGGTTAGCACTGCTATCTCTCAGTGCCAGGGACCCGGGTTCAATTCCACCCTCAGGTGACTGCCTGTTTGGAGTTTGCATGATCTCCCGTGTCTGTGTGGGTTTGTGCAAAGATGTGCAGGCTAGGTGGATTGACCATGCTAAATTGCTCATAGTGCTCAGGGATGTGTAGCTTAGGTGGGTTATAGAGGGATGGGTCTGGGTGGGATGCTCTGTGGGTCAGTGTGGATTTGTTGGGTCGAAGGGCCTGCTCCCACACTGTAGGGATTCATGAACAGTCCTAACTGATCCAGTCCCTCTTCATACATCAATCCTGCCACCCCAGGAATCGGTCTAGTAGACCTTTGTTGCACTCCCTCCATAGTCAGAACATTTTCCCCAGATAAAGAGACCAAAACGGCACTGAATATTTTTTTATATTTTTAAGGCAGAGATGTATAGGTTGATGTTAACATTTGCAGGGGGGGGGCGGTGAAAGGTTGTCAGGGTAGGCAGGAATGCTGATTTGAGGTTACACACAGATCAGACATGACTATCAAATGATGCAGCAGGCTCAAGGGGCTAAATAGCCCACTCCTGCTCCTAATTCATATGTTTGTACGTTACTACCGACAGATGTGAAGCTGTGTGCGCAATTCTGGTCTCCCTGCTATAGGAACGATGTGAAACTTGAAAGGGTCAGAAAAGAGTTAAAAGGATGTTTCCATGGTTGGAGGGTTTGAACAATAGGGAGAGACTGAATAGCTGGGGCTATTTTCCATGGAGCGTTGAAGGCTGAGGGGTGACCTTATAGAGGTTTATAAAATAATAAGTGACATGGACGGGTAAATAGACACATTCTTTTCCCCAGGGAGTGGGAGTTCAAGACGAGGGAATAAGGTTTAACATGAGAGGGGAAAGATTTAAAAACGACCTAAGGGGCAACTTTTCACATAGGGTGGTGCATGTATGGAATGAGCTGCCACAGGGAGTGGCAGAGGCTGGTACAACTACATTTTAAAGGCATGTGGATGGGTATGTGAATAGGAAGTGTTTAGAGGGCTAAGGGCCAAATGCTGGCAAATGGGACTAGATTAATTTAGGATATCTGGTCAGCATGAACCTGTTGAACCAAAGGGTCTGTTTCCGTGCTGTATATGTCTGTATAACTCTGAAACACAAACAGCATAAAAGATTTGAGAATGTATACACAATTCACAACTAACATTTCTCATTTCTGAGCATGTGCATGTCTTCACCTTGAAATCCTTGAGGCAGCTGTGGGTCAACAAGTTCCAGTTCCAAGGAGCCCAGGACAAGCTGTGCTTGAGCAACTGGTCAAGGGTGAGCAGTAAAGATCCTCCTAGACTCATGGCAAATCCCAATGGAGGGGTTTAAAATACTCTCTCTAAAACATCCATCTGTTACAAATAACCAAGACATCAGGGAAGAGAAAGATGCCAACCAACAGCTCTCTCTCCCTGTTCAGGAGACCCATCTCCTGCCACTCAGCCACTTTCACAAACTGTTGACCACACAATTTTCCCTCTCACTCCCTATTCGCCCTCTTCAATTATGTCCCTTTACACTTGTCAACTCTCCTGAAAAACACTGCCTTTGAACCCAATGTTTCTGCAAACTACCATTTCTCCCTCCAATCAGAGATAGTAGGAACTGCAGATACTGGAGAATCCGAGACAACAAGGTGCAGGGCTGGATGAACACAGCAGGCCAAGCAGCATCATAGGAGCAGAGAGGCTGACGTTTCAGGCCTAGACCCTTCATCAGAAAAGGGTCTAGGC